CTGAATCAACTCGTTTAATCTTCATGACAATCCCTTGAAGTTAACGACCTTGTAGTTATTATTATCATTCTCACTTTGAGGAAAGAGAGGCACACAGAGAGAAAGTACTTTGTCTAAGGACACAGAGATAATAAAAGGCATAGTCTGGGCTAGCTGCAAAACTTACAGGGCCAGAGCAAAATGAGAATGTGGGGCCCTGGCCAGGAAGGCAGGTGGGGAGCCAGCTTCCCTTTTCACTATGGTTGGGAGACTCCAAGGGATTGCAGACTGCATTAGGTACCTGGATCGGAGTAGGCGAAAGGCTTCTGCCAGCCTCCGGGGCGCTGCCAGCCAAGTGCAGGGATAGCAGCTGCCTTACCCCACCCAGAGACAAGGCGCGGTGGGGGGGGTCGTGGGGCTGGGAGCTGCCCCTGTCCCCAATTCTCTTCGGGCCCGTGCCCAGGCACCCACCGGACGGGTGGATGACCACTGCCTGCGGAGCACAAGAGACTCCCCCTAGCCACACCCTCGGGCAATGAGACCCAGTTGCTGCCACTGATAAACGTGGGCAGCAGTTGTGAAGTTGGCAGAAGGCCAGCGTCCCAAACCAGACTCGGCAGCTGAAAGGACAGGGGGAGTGGTGGGAGGTGGGGAGTGGTGGGAGGTGGGACTGCGCATGGGCGGAGGCGCCAAGACGACTGCGCATGCTCCATTCCCCCTTCAAGCTTTACTTAAAAAACGCAAAGTTCACTTTATTAACAAAACCCGCCAAGCATTGAACCTTAACCCCTCATAAGTACAGAGTCCTATGTGACTGTACTAGGTGCGTGCCCTGCCTATAGGTACTCTCTTATGCATAGTGACTATGGTGGAAATCATGAAAATTCCAAGTATACTTTTGAAAAGCGAGAAAGCAAGCATTTGTTTAAGTCTGCCCTGCCATTCTACTTTGGAAAGTGTAAACTACTGTGAAATAGAAAGTGGTATTATTAGTTTTGACAAATAAATTCATTTTTCAATACCCTTTTAACCTTTCAATACCCCTGTAACCTTTTCTTCTTCTTTTTTGACATAGAGTTTCACTGGTTGCCCTTGGTAGAGTGCGGTTGCATTGTACCCGAATTTCGTTCTTCAGCAGGTTCCTGGTCTCAGTGATTCAAAGAATGAATCCACGGACCACAGATCAGTGGTAAGACGGGATTTATTTACAGAAAAGAATACAGAAGCACCAGAGCTCCTGGCAGAGAGTGAAAACCGAAGTGGGGAGAGAAAGCTCGCTCTCTTCTGTCTGTAGGCTCTTTGCCTAGGGGTATATATAGTCACATGGGGGCCCTCAGTAGTTACATTTAGCCTGTCTGGGACATCGTGTCTGGGACATGTATGGGTCATGTCTGGAACAACGTGTCTGGGTGGCAAATGAGTGACTACAAGCCCTTTCATTCCCAGGCCTACGAAATGCGGCTCCCCTGCCCACCCTGGAGCCTGCTGGTTCCGCTGCTGGCTGCCACTACACCAATATCGCCAAGGTGGAGGCAGCTGGTCTGCGCCTCTCTCCCAGCTCCATGAGCTGGCTGGGATGCCACTTGTCCTGTATCAGCATCATCATAGCTCACAGCAGCCTCAAACTCTTGAGCTTAGGCGATTCTCTTGCCTTAGCCTCCCAAGGAGCTGGAACTACAGGTACCCACCACAACACCCAGCTATTTTTTGGTTGTAGTTGTCGTTGTTGTTTGGCAGGCCGGGGCTGAATTTGAACCCACCAACTCTGGTGTATGTGGCTGGTGCCCTAGCTGCTGAGCTACAGGTGCTGAGCCTACCTTTTCCTTTTTATAACAATTATTTTATTTTTCTTTATTTCAGGTTAATACATATAAGGGTACATATGATTAGGTTATATAGTTTGCATTTGTAAGGTAAAGTGTGAGCTGTAGGTGAGTCCCTTAACCCAGCAGGCATGCCATATATCTCTACATTGTACTCTTCATCCAGGAGGTGAGCTGTGTACCCACTAGGTGGGAGTTTGCCAACCCCCTCTGAGTTTTTTTTTTTTTTTTTTTTGAGACTTCATCTGTTGCCCTGGGTAGAGTGCTGTGGTATCATAGCTCACAGCAACCCCACACTCTTGGGCTGAAGCAATCCTCTTGCCTCAGCCTCCAGAGTAGCTGGGACTACAGGCACCCGCCACAACACCCAGCTAGTTTTTCTTTTTTCTTTTTTTAAATTTTTTTTGAGTTAGAGCCTCAAGCTGTTGCCCTGGGTAGAGTGCTGTGGTATCATAGCTCACAGCAACCCCACACTCTTGGGCTGAAGCAATCCTCTTGCCTCAGCCTCCCAAGTAGCTGGGACTACAGGCGCCTGCCACAACGCCCGGCTATTTTTTGGTTGCAGCTGTCATTGTTGTTTGGCAGTTCTGGGCTAGATTCGAACCTGCCATCTTAGGTGTATGTGGCTGGTGCCTTAGCCACTTGAGCCACAGGCACCGAGCCTCAAGCGATTCTCTTACCTCAGCTTCTCAAGTAGCTGGGACTATAGGTGCCTGCCACAATGCCCTGGTTGTAGTTGTCCCTGTTGTTTGGTAGGCCTGGGCTGGATTCTACCAGCTCTCTGGTATGTGGCTGGTGCCTTAGCCGGTTAAGCTAGAGGTGTTTTTTCTTTTCCTTTCTTTTCTTTTTTTGCAGTTATTTTGGCCAGGGCTGTGTTTGAATGTGCCACCTCGGGCATATGGGGCAGGCGCCCTACTCTTTTGAGCCACAGGTGCCGCCCATCTTTTTCTTTTTTCTTTCTTTCTTTTTTTTTTTTTGGAGACAGAGTGTCACAATGTTGTTCTTGATAGAGTGCCACGGTGTCACAACTCACAGAAACCTCAAACTCTTGGGCTTAAGCGATTCTCTTGCCTCAGCCTCCCAAGTAACTGGGACTACAGGAGCCCGCCACAACGGCCAGCTATTTTTTGGTGAGGTTGTAGTTATTGTTGTTTAGCTGGCCAGAGTTCGAACCTGTCAGCCTCAGTGTATGTGGCTAGCGCCATAACCACTGTGCTATAGGTGTGGAGCCTAGTTTTTCTATTTTTAATAGAGACCTAAGCTCTTGAGTCCTGAGCTCAAGACAATCCACCTGCTTCAGCTCTTGGAGTGCTGAGATTACAGATGTGAGCCACCGTGCCTGGCCTTTGAGAGCATCTTTAAAAAGAAAAATTATCAGACGGCATCTGTGGCTCAGTGAGGAGGGTGCCCGCCCCATGTACCGAGGGTGGCGAGTTCGGCCCCCGCCAAACTGCAACAACCAAAAAAATAGCCGGACGTTGTGACAGGTGCCTGCAGTCCCAGCTATTCGGGAGGCTGAGGTAAGAGAATGGCCTAAGCCCAAGACCTGGAGGTTGCTGTGAGCTGTGTCGCCACATCGCTCTAACGAGGTCTTGCTATGCTGACTAAGAAGTCCTGGCAATCGAGCCGTCCTTTGCCTTAGCCTCCCCAGTACCTGGGATTACACCTCCGCTTAATTTATATAATTATAATGTTGAGAATTTGGGCTTTGTGATCGGACAAATTTGGGTTGGAATCCCAGTTCCATCAGTGATTAGCTGAAGATATCTGAACAAATTACTTGCACCCAAGTTTTCTTGTCTGAAATGGGGATAAGGAAGCTTAGTGGTGGCTCCAACGCTGCTAACCCGGTAGGCTTAACCATGGCAATCTAATCGGAAATGGGGCTGCAGCACCTGTCTTGAAACTGTTTGCAAAATCAACATGTCTGTTTTCACTTAGATTTTATATTTACTTGGAGTGGGTTTGGGAAAAGGGAGCACGTTGGGTTAAAAGTGTAAAAAACGAGTCACTGGTGAGACTAAAAAGTAACTATAAAGATATATAAGTTTTTTTCCACCAGGGTGAATTTCTTTAGAGCTGGGTCCTGTCATATTTATCTGTGTCTACCACAATGCTTGGCTTCAAACGTGGAATTTATATGAATTTTTTTTTTTTGTAATCGTAGCTAAAAATGAGGGTTTCATCAGTAACTTGGGGGGAAATTAGATAAAATAAATCTTTTAAAGGCCTTTGATATTGTTTTTGTTAGAAAAATAAATGGGAAAAATGAAGTTGACAAAGTCAATACTCAAACTTATTCCTTAGTACCTGTTAACACCTGGTTTGTCTTATTTTTTCCAACATTTATAATATAAATCCAGGACGTCATTGATGTAGATTTGGAACTCATACGGCGATATTAGATATATCACACTTTGGGACGTTTTATTCCTAAGCAACAAGCAAAAAGAAGAAAACGCCTGCTGAGAGCCACAGCCCTAGACGACTCAGTGACCTCAGGATCATTGGACGACGGCGACATCCTCGTTATCCAATCGTAGGGAAGTCCGGAGAAAACGCTCTCTGGATTGGTTAGAGGAAACATTTCTCCAGGTTTATTCAAGAGGCTTGGGCCAATGCGGTGGCTCCCGTCTGTAATGCCAGCACTCTGGGAGGCAGAGGCGGGTGGATCGCCTGAATTCAGGAGTCTGTACCAGCCTGAGCTAGGGGGAGACCCACCACCCGCGTCTCCACTAAAAATAGAAAACTAACAGGGCTTTGTGGCTGGCGCCGGCCTGTAGTCCCAACTACTTGGGAGGCTGAGGCTAGAGGATCTCTGGAGCCCAAGAGTTTGAGATTGCTGTGAGCTATAACCATACGAACTCTATCCAGGGAAACTGGGTGAGACTCTGTCTTAAATAAATAAATCAATAAATACATAAATTCCTTAAAAAAAACAAAAACCAGAAAGATTTGGGGCAGGGCTCGCGGGGCAGCACCTCCGGCCAGAGGACGTACGTGGGGGCGGGCTTCGCGGCAGGAAGGTGGCAGACCTGGGCGGGTCAGACTCGCCTGCCACAATGGCGGGGGCGGAACCTTCAGCCGCGGGTTCCCGGCTCGCGCGGAGGTCTGGCCGGCAAGCGCGCCGAGTGGGCGGGGCCGGCGGGGCTGGGCGGGGCGAGCGGTGTCAGCGGCGAAGCCGGATGCGGGCGGCACCGCGGCTGCCGCTGCCCTGGGGATGGGCGGAGCCCCAGCCGCTAGTGCTGGTGGCCTCCGCCGCTGCCGGAGCCAGAGTCCGAGCCCGAGCCACCTCTGCTCCCTCGCGTCGCTGCTTCCCGGGGCGGCGGTATGCTGGGGAAAGGGGTAGTTGGTGGTGGCGGCGGCACCAAGGCGCCCAAGCCGTCCTTCGTGTCGTACGTGCGCCCGGAGGTGAGGGGACGCCGCGCGGGCGGGGCGTCGGGCTGGAGCGGCACGGGAGGGGGACTTGGGGAGCCCCTTCCTCACGGCGGGAAGGGCGGCGGGACGCTTCCTGCCTGTGTGCGGGGAGCCATCAGTGAGGCTATTGGGGCCCTCCGGCGCCTCGCTCCGGGCCGTGGTGGGGACCCCCTGGAGGGGCAGGCAGGTGTAGGAACGCGGGGCCCAGTTCGCCGGCTACCCGGTGAAGGGGCCCAAGCCCAGAAGGCACTGGGACCCGGAATGCCCTGGGTACACTGGGTACACAGTGGGCATCTTTGAGAGGAGAAGAGCTGGGGGTCAGGCCCATGTTTGTCTTGCCCTCGGATTTTCTTGGTGAGCCTTGAGAGAGCTCGCCTCTTTCAACTGCCTGCTTCTAAGTGCCATTTGATGCTGCTGGCGAGATACTGTGCACCTATTCCCGCCTCCCTTCAGCACTGCCAGAAGAAACTGTGGGTCGGCCCTGGCCTCAGCCAGCCTCTGCCTCTCCCTTATGAATTCTCCCTTGTCGCTTCTTTTCCTTTTCATTTCACCCCATTCACCATTATCCTTTCCACCCTTTCTATGTTATTCTGGAATTTTGCTGTCAAGAAGTTCGTTCTTTCATTCATTCAGAAAATACTTTTGAGCTCCATGCCCCTGGCAAGACACTGTTCTAAACGCTTGTGGTGTACCTAAGTGAACAGAACAAAGATCCTCTGCTCTCCCGGAGTTTATTTGAGGGGGAAAGGAGAAAGAGTAAACCGTAGATGTAATACATGAGTAAATTATATGTTGTATTAGGTGCTAAGCATCATGAGAATGAAGAGGCAACCTTTTTCTCCTTGGAAGGTGGTGTGAGCCAAGACTTAAAAATATGGGGTATCTGATGGAAGAATAGTCCAGGTAGAGGGAACAGCCCTCAGGTGAAGGCCTTAGTGTGGGAGTGTGGAGGGTTAGAGGAGTGGCAAGGAAGCCAGAGCGTCAGAGGCCCACTGTTTGATGGAGAGGAGGTTAGAGAGATCAGAACTTGTAAGCCATGCTGAGGGCTTCTTGAGCAGTAGTTCCTAATCCACTGCCTAGATGCCTTATCATCTTGGATTTCTGAAGGTTTTTTCGCCAGCTTCTGCAGAAGTACTACTAAATTCATTGTCTCAGATGTCTTCCCTAGCAGGTGGGCTATGGATGAAAGGTCTTAATCAGGGACTGCTTTTGTAAGACCTCCTGGGGCCTAAAGCCTTTGCATATGTTACTTTAAATTCAAGATGTGTTTTTAACGGTGGGGGAAAAAAAAAAGAAAAAAAATATATATATATGTTTTGTTTTGTTTTTTGAGACACAGTCTTACTCTGTTGCCCCAGGCTAGAGTGCAGTAGCATCAGCCTAGCTCACAACAAGCTCAAACTCCTGGGTTCAAGTGATCCTCTTGCCTCAGGCTCCCCAGTAGCCTGTACTACAGGTGCCTGCCACAAAGTCCAGCTCATTTTTCTATTTTTATTTATTATTATTATTATTTTGAGACAGTCTTAAGCTGTCACCCTGGGTAGAGTGCTGTAGTGTCATAGCTCACAGCGACCTCTAACTTGGGCTCCTCCAAGTGATCCTCTTGCCTGAATTTTTCTATTTTTAGTAGAGATGGGGTCTCACTTTTGCTCAGGCTGGTCTTGAACTCATGAGCTCAAGCTGTCCATCTGCCTCGGCCTCCCAGAGTGCTAGGATTATAGGTGTAGGCCACTGTGCCTGTCCTATTGTAACCCCCCCCTTTTTTTATTTTTTTGAGACAGTCTCACTATGTGGCCCTCGATAGAGTGCTTGGCATCACAGCTCACAGCAACCTCAAACTCTTGGGCTTAAGCCAGTGGTTCTCAACATTCCTAATGCTATGAACCTTTAATACAGTCTAAAGGGGTCGTGACCCACAGGTTGAGAGCTGCTGGCTTAAGTGATTCTCTTGCCTCAGCCTCCCAGTAGCTGGGACTATAGGTGCCCGCCCGCCACAAGGCCTGGCTATTTTTTTGTTGTAATTGTTATTGTTGTTTGGCAGGCCCAGGCTGGGATCAAACCTGCCAGTATGCGGCTGGTGCCCTAGCCGCTGAGCTATAGGCGTGGAACCTATTTTTCTATTTTTAGTAGAGATGGAGTCTTGCTCTTGCTCAGGCTGGTCTGAAACTCCTGAGTTTAAGGGACCACCCCACTTCTACCCAGGCCTCCCAGAGTGCTAGGGTTACAGGCATGAGCCATTGTGCCTGGGTGAGAATATTCTTGAAATGGGTCTTATTTTTAGTCTTAATTTAAAAATACAGTAGAAATTCTGTAGGTTGACCACTGAAAGTAATGTAACAAGCTGGTCAACCTACAGGGGTGGTCAGCAATTAGGTCTTCTATACTGTCCAGTCTGTGAAAATTAGGTCAACTGAAGGAGGTGATTAACGTAGGAAGGTGGTCAACTATGGAGGTTCTGCTATACAACTCCCTCTGTCAGGGTTATCTTAAATTTTCAGCAGGCCTTTCTTGCAATATCACCTGTAAGCAAGGTGGACAGTTTCTCTTTGTGTCTTTTTTTAGAGTCCTGTTGAAGTACAGCTGAGTTTAAAGTGTAAGTGGAAAGTCTTCTGAAATGTGGCTGGAGTTCAAGAATGTTCAAATTTTTCATCCACCAAGTGCACATGTTGTAATTAGACATGTTTTCCCTCTTTGCCCACAGTGCCTGATACGTTTCCTTTGAGGGATAATTAGAGAAGGGAGTGGTTCAGCTCCAAAATAAGCCTGAAGTGGTCACATTTTTCAGATCCTTATTGTTGGCAGGATTTTTTTTTTGTATGTGTGTGTGTGCATTAAAATAATACTGTGTACACAATATGCTTCTTCTTTTGGCTCAACATATTATATAACAGAGGGTAAGGTTCTGAACAAAATTGTGAATTTTTTTTTTTTGAGATAGAGTCTCATTATGTCTCCCTCGGTAGAGTGCTGTGGCATCACAGCTCACAGCAACCTCAAACTCTTGGGCTTAAGTGATTCTCTTGCCTCAGCCTCCTGAGTAGCTG